GTAAGACCTGAAAGGAAACACTGGAAGAAATATTTCTCTGTGAATATCTTATACGGCAATAATTGTTTTTCTATTTGCTCTTAAAAATGCTTCATAAGGGGTGCCTGGGTGGCCTGGTTGGTTGAGCATCCGACTTCGGCTCGGGTCATGATCTCACGGTCCGTGAGTTCGAGCCCTACGTCGGGCTCTGTGCTGACCGCTCAGAGCCTGGAGCCTGTTTCGGATTCTGTGTCTCCCTCTCTCTCTGCCCCTCCCCTGTTCATTCTCTGTCTCTCTCTGTCTCAAAAATAAATAAACGTTAAAAAATAAAAATAAAAAAAATTAAAAAAATGCTTCATAAAATAGTACATCACATCACAACCATAGATTTAAAAACGTTACTCATGTAACTTGGACAGCAGCATAATTGTGTATGATGCTCAGAGATGGAGGTGGGAGAGAAGGGATACCCTTTTCAAGAAAAAATTAACCTGGGAAGGCATAGTCCAGGTTACCACCCCATTCCTATCTACCTCAATTTACAATGTCTACAATGTTTATGGAGAATTATGAATAAATTGTTTGCAGAGCTAAATTCTCTTCTGTGTCCAAGAGCTCAGCAAATAATCTATATGCAGTCTGTGAAACCTCAAATCAATCAGGAGCAGAATCAGCAACTGTCTGAAAGTGAGTTGTTGCCTTTCTGAGAACATAGCAAAAAAAAATCTGACAAGGCTGCTAAGTCTCAGAGTTATAGTTTGACTGTCAGAAATTTATACAGTTCTGTTAGGTGACATTCAACAATGGGTCTCAGACTCTCTTACTCATGGAGAAATGAGAAATGAAATATCATTTAACTAGGATCATTCTCAAGCACAATAGAGGAAACCACAGAGCTGTATTTCTAAGCCAAAAATAAAAATATGTCAGACATAAAATACTACGGAAGGTGGAATTAGTACCTGTAGCTTGGAAAGATATGCCATTTCTTTCACATGCAAATGTATCGTTATCTATTAGGCAATGGGCATAAGAAAAGTAAGTTAAGGGGTGCCCCTCGGTGGCTCAGTCTATCGAGCATCTGTCTGACTCTTGATTTCAGCTCAGGTCATGATCCTAGGGTTGTGGGATCGAGACAGATTGTTGGGTTCCACACCGAGCATGGAGCCTGCTTGAGATTCTCTCTCCCTCTCCCTCTGCCCCTCTCCTGCTTGTGCTCTCTCTAAAATAAAATTTAGGGGCTCCTGGGTGGCTCAATTGGTTAAACATCTGACTTTGGTTCAGGTCATGATCTCACAGTTTGTGAGCTTGAGTCCCACATTAGGTGAGCATGAGCCCCGCTTTGGGTGAGCATCATTTCTCTCTCTCTCTTTCTCTTTCTCTCTCTCTCTCTCTCTCTCTCTCTCTGTCTGCTCCTTGTTCACTTGCACTGTCTTTCTCTTAAAAAAATAAAATAAAATTTAATGTAATTAAAAAGAGAAAAGTTAGAAAAAGGAAATGAAGTGACACTAATCCATTCATTCAACAAATATTATATTGAGTATTTAGTGGTCGCCATTCTAAAGGCTGAGGATTTGAGAGGAAACAAATCCTATAAAAATCCCTACCTTCAGTGAGTTTTGAGTCTAACAGAGGACACTGGAAGTAAATAACAAATAAGTCAGAGAAATCGTGTGTTGTATGGAGATAAGTGCTAAGGTTAAAAATGAATCAAGGTATTGAAATGAGGAGTTGGAAGTCCCTAGACAAGGTGGCTAGGGAAAGTGTCACCTAAAAGATAACACTCAAAAAAAGACATGAAGGAGATGAAAGGGGAAGTCCTTGCAACTATTTAGGAAAGAGCTTTCTGGGCAGATAGAAAAATGAAGGGCCTGAGGCAGCAGCATGTTTGGTGGGTTATTTATAGTGGTGAGCTAGAGTCGGACCTGGGAGCCAATTGTTAAGTTTTCAGGAATTTCGCAAGCTGGTTGTCAAGCATTGCTGTATAAAAAATTAAATTCTAGGGGCGCCTGGGTGGCTCAGTCGGTTGAGCGTCCGACTTCGGCTCAGGTCATGATCTCCTGGTCTGTGAGTTCAAGCCCCGCGTCGGGCTCTGTGCTGACAGCTCAGAGCCTGGAGCCTGTTTCGGATTCTGTGTCTCCCTCTCTCTGCCCCTCCCCTGCTCATGCTCTGTCTCTCTCTGTCTCAAAAATAAATAAAACATTAAAAAAAATTAAAAAAAATTAAATTCTATAAATTTACTGTTAAATAAATTATATTACAAAGATAATAAATCCTCAAAAGTCATCACTTCCTGATTACGTTACTGCACTTTACTATTACCTATGCTCTTGAGGTTACTTACATCAGTGGTGTTTGCATGATGGAAATACTATGTAATGATGTGCTACTGTGCATCTCTCCACGTGTTGTGACATCATATTGGTAGTCTGACGTTGGCCATGGTAGGAGTACTTATGCTATAGAAGTCAGCTAAAATTCATGACTTTTTCTCCTCAGAGCTTTTTCTGTAAAATCTTTTATTTTTTTCTGTTTATTTATTTTTGAGAGAGAGACAGAGAGACAGAGTGTGAGTTGGGAAGGGGCAGAGAGGGCAGGAGACACAGAATCTGAAGCAGACTCCAGGCTCTGAGCAGGACGTGGGGTTCAAACCCATGGACCATGAGATCATGACTTGAGCCAAAGTCGGATGCTTAACCGATTGAGCCGCTCAGGCACCCCTTGTTAAATCTTTATCGAGGAGGCCAGAGTTGTGATCAGAGCTGATTGAGCAAGAGGGAGATGAAGTCATAGCAATAAAGGGGCCAGGTAGGGAGGCAGATGGTGTAGGGCCTTCCTGTAGGCCACTGTAAATGCATTGGCTTGTTTTCTCAGTGAGACTGGAAACCACCCAAGTGATTGAACAGAGACATGACAACTTGACCTGACTTCAAATCTTAACAGTATCACTCTAGATGCTGAGATAAAAACAGCCTGGAAGCAAGGGTAGAACTAGGGAGACCAGTTAGGAGACTGCATTCATCCAGAGATTGAATGTGGCTTGACCCAGAGTGGTAGTCATGGAAGTACTCAAATTCCAAATATATTTTGAAAGTAGGATCAAAGGACTTCCTACAGGATTGGACTGGAATCTGTTAGAAAGAGAGAATCCAAGGACGACTCCATGGATTCTGGCCTCAGTGACTGGAAGGGTGGAGTTCTTGTTTTCTGAGATTGGCTGCAAGAGGGACAGTTCGGGGGAGTGTGGCAGAATTAGGATCTCAATTTTCCATCACCCATACATTCCTTAAAGGAAGGGGCTTTGTGCCAACTTCTAAATTGTGCTTAATAAATATTTGTTGAACTCACAAATTAATCTTTTTAGCTTTTAAAATAAAACGAAGTCCTGGAAATTAATGTTTATGAGAAGATGTTACCAGATATAAAATTGCATAAGTCCAGAACTCTGAATAAAAGGAGAGAGGCCACTAGTTGCCACTTCAAGGAAGGCCCATTTGACTTCCTTTAATTCTACACTTTATAGGTCTGATTCATTTGTCTGATCATAAGAAGTTCAGGTATTATCACCATTAGCAGAAAACTTGAAAATCAAACAAGAATAGTAATATCAAATTCTGATAATATCTTGTCAAAAATTATGTTTCAAAACCTTTTTCTCATCTAATAATGTGAAAGCAGATTATAACAACAATAAAAAATGTTCTGTCACATGCTTTTACTTTAGAAGACATGAAGAAGCCAGCAAAATTAGTGAATCTATTTCAGTGATTCTCTACAGGGGGCAATTTTGTTTAGCAATTAAATGTTGCCTCACAAAACAACATTGTCAGCCAATGTCAGAATCAGGCACAGCACATTATAAGCCTAGATAGATCAGAAGGTGAAGGTAATAATAAAAACAAGTGCAATAATGACTAATACAAAGACATTGTTGGTAATTACAAGTGGCTGGGGATAGGGTGTTACTAGCATCTAGTAGATTGCTGCTAGAGGTGCTGCTAAATATCCTGTATGCATAGGACGGGCCTCCACAACAAAGAAGTATTCAGCCCCAAATCTCAATAGTGCATGTGTGTAAGGACAGATGGTAGCTACACTTGTGGTGAGCAGAGCCTAATGTGTAGAGTTGTGGAATCACTATGTTGTGAAACACCTGAAACTAATGTAACATTGTGTGTCAACCATACGTAAAAAAAAAAAAAAAATCCGTAGCGCAGACGTTGAGGAACCCTGATCTGTGTATAAAATAGTTGAAGTTAGGGGCGCCTGGGTGGCGCAGTCGGTTAAGCGTCCGACTTCAGCCAGGTCACGATCTCGCGGTCCGTGAGTTCGAGCCCCGCATCAGGCTCTGGGCTGATGGCTCGGAGCCTGGAGCCTGTTTCCGATTCTGTGTCTCCCTCTCTCTCTGCCCCTCCCCCGTTCATGCTCTGTCTCTCTCTGTCCCAAAAATAAATAAAAAAACGTTGAAAAAAAAAATAAAATAGTTGAAGTTATCCTGGTTCAATGGAGAAAAGAAAAAGCTGAACCTCAATTAGATCAATGTTTCTCAATTTTACTGTGTGTATGAATTGCCTGGGGATCCTATTGAAATGCAGATTATGATTCAGTAGGTTTGGGGAAAGGCCTGAAATTCTGCATTTGTAACAAACTCCCAGGAAATGCTGATGCTAATGCTGATGGTCCATGGACCACACTTTGAGTAATAAGGCACTAGATTATGCCATTGTAGTGTCTTGTTGGGGTGGGATGGGGACAGGGATTCCTTAAGAATTGGTACTGAGAGGGTCCCCAAAACGATGTTTGGGGCATGGTATGTGCAAATTCATACTGGGCTCATTAAAAATACATTATTTTGGGGGTGTCTGGGTGGCTCAGTAGGTTAAGCATCTGATGTCAGCTCAGGTTATGATCTCGCGGTTTGTGAGTTTGGGCCCCATGTCAGGCTGTCTGCTGTCAGCACAGAGGCTGCTTTGGATCCTCTGTCCCCCTCTCTCTCTGCCCCTCCTCTCTGCCCCTTCCCCACTTGTGCTCTCTCTCAAAAATAAATAAACATTTTTTTTAAATACAATATTTTTGAGATGCCTGGCTGGTTCAGTCAAAGGAACAGGCAACTCTTGATCTCAGGGTCGTGAGTTCAAGTCCCATGTTGAGTGTAGAGATAACTAACTAACTAACTAACTAAATAAGCTTAAAAAAAAAAGAATGATCTGGTATGACTTGCCAGTACAACACTTTATTTGTAATGTAACTAGAAACTGAAGATTTTCAAATGAATAATATTTAAACCACTTTTCACATGAAAAGAGAAGTGAAAAATGTTACATAACTATATGGATTATTATAGTTATAATTTCAGTAATTCCAATCCTCTGTGGATGAGGCTGTATGCCACTTACCTAAGAAATGCAGAAAATGATATATATGCGTAAGCATGAGATCATAATATCCTCCTCTACAAGTTCCTTTAATAACAATTGTTCAATTGAACAGAAGTAGAAAAAATCTTTATGCATACATACATTCATTCTTTCTCTCCATCTTCACACTTTCAGAAAACCAGAGAAAAAGTGAGAGGGCACTCATGGAATTGAAGAAATCTGATGAAAATTCTCCTCTTACTCAACACTTAACAACAACAGCAACAGCAACAACAACAAATCTCTACAATACATTTGGAGGTAGCAAAGTGTTTACTGTTTTTTCCAGTTGGATACAGTCATCTGCTGGAAATCAAATAGTAATAATTGTTTATAAGAAAATTGCCTGGTAAATTTACCATTTTTCAGTATCTACTATTTGCCAGATGCTTTATATTTGTAAATAGTGATAAGTCAGAAATAAGGCCAGGGGTGCCTGGGTGGCTCAGTCGGTTGAGCGTCTGACCTCAGCTCAGGTCATGATCTCACGGTTTGTGGGTTCGAGCCCCGCGTCGGGCTCAGTGCTGACAGCTCGGAGCCCGGAGCCTGCTTTGGATTCTGTGCCTCCCTCTCTCTCTGTCCCTCCCCCACCTCGAGCTCTGTCTCTCTCTCAAGAATAAATAAACATTAAAAAAAAATTAAATAAAAACATTAAAAAAAAAATAAGGCCAGAGGTAACTCAAATTTCTAAATGTTTGATAAAATAAAAAGCAAGATTTGGGGCGCCTGGATGGCTCAGTTGATTAAGCAACCGACTTGATTTCTGCTCAGATCATGATCTCACGGTTCCAGAGTTCAAGCCCTGCGTTGGGCTCTGCACTAAATGTGGAGCCTGCTTGGGATTCTCTCTCTCTCTCTCTCTCTCTCTCTCTCT